ACGCCGTTCAGTTGGTTCACCACCAAGGCCGAGTCGGAACGGACCTGGATTTTCCGCGCTCCCAGCTCGCGCGCCACGTTCAACCCTGCTATCACTGCCTCGTATTCCGCCGCATTGTTGGTCTTTAGGGACGAAAATCAGAGCGCCAGCTCGTGCATGGCGCCCATGGGGTTGATGACCACTATCCCGGCCCCTGCTCCTACTCGGCTGGCTGCCCCGTCCACGTAGACTTGCCAATTTTCGTTCAATCCTTCCTCCTTGCTCACCACGCCTTCTGCCGCGAAATCCGCAAGCACCTGCGCCTTGATCGCTGGGCGGGGCGCATACTTGATATCATACTCGCTTAACTGCACAGCCCATTTCACCATGCGCCCCGCAACGTCCATTGACCCCAGTGTCTTCTTTAACGGCAGATTCGTGAGCACCACCACGGTGTGTGCTTGAAAGTATGGGCGCAACTTTTCTGCCGCCGCGACTACGGCCAGGGCTGCCTTCTCTATGGGCGCGTAGCGCGTCTCAGGACCCGTCATTACCTTGCTTACGTAGTACACCGGGCGCTCCTCGCCGTCGGCCGCGGCTCGCGAGACGAGCACCGCGCTTACCGCTGTTCGCGATACCGCAATGTACAAGTACAACACTTCGCCTTCCCGGGGCGCTGTCATGACTGTGGGTGACACCAGCAGGCTCTTCAAGCCCTCGAATGCCTCGTCGCACTCATCCGTCCACTTGAAGCGCGCCGCCCTCTTCAGAACTCTGAAAAACGGTGCGCCCTTGTCAGCCGCACGGGGAATGAAACGTCCCAACGCCGCCAGGCGCCCATTCAGACTCTGCACCTCCCTCGGTGTTCTTGGGGGCTCAAGGCGCCAGATCGCCTCTACCTGCTTCGGGTTGACCTCAATCCCCCTCCTTGTTATCATGAACCCCAAGAACTTGCCCGCTTCCGCACCGAAAACGCACTTGAGAGGGTTCAGCCGTAGAGAGTAAGAGCGCATGGTCTCGAAAGTTTCGCGCAGGTCCCTTAGGTGGTCCTCCTTTCTCCTGCTTTTGACTACCAGGTCGTCCACGTACGCCTCCACGTTCCTCCCAATCTGTTTATGGAACACGGTGTTAACCATGCGCTGGTAAGTCGCCCCTGCGTTCTTCAGTCCGAAGGACATGACCTTGTAGCGGAAGTTCCCGAAGGACGTCATGAATGCCGTCTTTTCTCGATCCTCCTCGCACATGAGGATCTAGTGGTAACCTGAAAACATGTCCAAGAAGCTTAGCGCCTCGTGGTAGGCGGTCGCATCCACCAGTTGGTCGATGCGCGGCATTGGGTACATGTCTGACGGGCACACTCGGTTCAGACTTGTGTAGTCGACGCACATCCTCCAATCGCCAAGCGCTTTTGGGACTAGTACGACGTTAGACAACCATGTAGTGTACTTGGCTTCCTCCACGAAGCCGGCATCGAGCAACTTTCCCACTTCTCGGCGCAGCGCCTCCTCCTTCTCCTCTGACAACGGCCTCCTTTTCTGTTGCACGGGGCGCACGCCCTTTTCTACTGACAGGCGATGAACCGCGACTTCCGGGCTTACTCCAGGCATCTCGCGGGCGCTCCATGCGAAAAGATCTGCGAACTCCTTCAATAACTCGACCAGCGACTCGGCCGCTTCCCCGCTGGTATGGGCCGAAATGCGCACGCATCTCTCGGGGCGCCTCTCGTCTAGAGGGACCTGGATCTCGGTGTCCGCCGCCTCCGCCCTGGGTAGATCCTCCGGCCGCAAATCTATGTTGTACATGCGTATCCTCTTGACTAGGCGGGCCTCCTGCGATGCTTCTCCTCTGGACACCCCCACCCCCTTCGGGGTGACAAATTTCAGGACCTGGTGGTAAGATGATGCCACCCCGTTGAATAAAGCTAGGAGCGGGCGTCCCAGGATTGCGTTGTAGTTAGAGGGACAATCCACAATGCCAAAGTCCACGGTAAGCGTGATCCGGTGCTCCTCCTCTCCCAACGTCACAGGCAGGCTCACCCGTCCCACGACTCGCGCGGGCACCCCTGAGAACCCGACCAAGACCGCGTCAGCCGGCTTCACGATGCTAGGCGACAGTTGCATCCTATCGAAGGTTGACTGGAACAACACGTCCATCGAGCTCCCCGTGTCAACGAGCATCCTCTTCACTTCGCATCCAGCCACCACCCCCCTGATCTCCAAAGCTTCCACCGACGGGACCCGGCACGCCTCCTCCGGGGTTTCGTTGAAATGGATTTGCACAGCCGCGCGGGCGCTTGCCGTAGCCGACTTCAACCGCCTTCCTTCCTCCAGCTTCTGCCTCAAGTCAATCGTTCCGGAAATGGCTTCGATGGTCAACCTCACCCGGGTGGGGTTAGCTTCAGGTTCGACCTCGAAGGGAGGAGGCGGGAGCCGCTCGCCTTCCCCCGGTCCCTCACTCTGGGCGTGCTTGTCTGCTACACCCCGGTCGCCCTCTCGCGGCGGGGCCGCCTTCTCCTCCTGCGCCATACAAGTGCGTTGCGCCTTCTCCTCCCCTTTCCTCAGAATTCATTCAACATTCCCCTCTTTACCAGCCCCTGTATCTCCGACTTGAGCTGATAGCAGTCGGCTGTGTGGTGCCCTCTTTCGCGGTGGAACTCGCAGTACCTGTCCAAGTTTTGCTCATTCGGGCGCCCCGCATGGGTCCCGGCCAGCGGAGGTGATACCCCTTATCCCTGGCATATTGCAGGATATTCTTCAAAGAGTCGTTGAGCTCGGTGAAGTTTGACATACTCTTGGGAGGGAAGCGTGGCGGTTCGGGCCGTCGGACGCCCTGAGGATAGCTCTGGGTCATTTGCGGGGCGTGGGGCGGCCTAGGGATCCGGGACGCCTCTTCCTCTCCGGGTCGCGTCTCCCTTCGCTCCATTCTCCTTGCGGCCAAGGTTTCCTCCAGCATGATGACTTTCTGCACTCGACGGTCCAAATCTTCCGTGGACACGACATCACGATTCGATAGGGCCCGGCACAGCTCCTCACTGTTGGTGCATTCGTCAAGGCAGCACCCTAGGACCGGCGGCTTGACGTCCTTGACCGCCATTGCGACCGACATCCACCGCTCGTAGAAGTCCCGCAGCGCCTCGCCTTTGCGCTGCCTGATCTTAAACAGCGCACTGATCGTCAAGCTCCTGCGCTTCCGGCTGGCGAACTTTGAGAGGAACATGGCTGCGAATTGCTCAAAGCTGTCGATCCTCCCTTCCTCGATCTGGTGGTACCAATCCAGCACTACGCCCACGAAGGTCGACGGGAAGGCGCGACACAACGTGGCGTCCGAGCTGTTGTACAGCTGCATTTTGGTGAAGTAGTTGTTCAGGTGGTCCTCCGGGTCGGACGTGCCGTCATAGCTGGGAAGTGCTGGAATGACGGCATTGGCTTGCTCCGCCAAAACGCTTCGCGCAAGCGGCTGCCTTACCCCCAAAGGGCGCCCTGGACGCCTGGGCGCCCATCCGGTCGGCTCTTCGAGGTCTGGCGCTCCGTGACGCGCCCAATGTCCTGCTTCCTCCGTGCGCCTTAGCGCGCTTGACATCCCTTCCTCCTTCTCATCTCTCTCTCTCTTCCTTCCGCTGAGGGCAGGCGCGGCGTGCCCCCCTTTCTTGAGGGCTTCCACTTCCCTTCTCAACACCTCTAGCGCCTGGGCTTGCTCCTCAATGATGCTGATCAAATGCTCCTTGGTCAGAGTGACGCCCTCTGATTGGGCCGTCTCCTGCGCCTCGCCTTCCTCTCCTTGCGCCTCCTCGGATACATGCGACGCCCCTTCCGATACCGCCTCATTAAGGGCGCGGCTCCTCTCCCCCGCCGTTTCAGTCGCCGCCTCCATGAGTCTTTCTGGTTATACTCGCCTACCTGGCGCGCCAATTGTTTGTGCCACGTAACCTTCCGCCCTCCGTAGTCTCCGGGCGCCTCCCGACTCACGTCCTGTCAGTTCCTCGAACCCCAATAGCTTCCTCCGCGCCTGGGTCACACGCTCGCCCCCTACACACAACTGCGCGCACTGAACCCCTTTGAAAGGGCTCGTAAGCACTCCGACGCCCAAGTTAGAACAAATTCTAGAGAGAGAAGTAAGATAAAAGTTGTAGAGAGAAGTTAGAACCTGAGTAAATGAGCTCCACCCACTTCACTATTTATACTCAGGGTAGGGTCGACCAGTGCCCCCCAAATCCGCCCTACGCCATCACCTCATTAAATGCACTGCCCCCGTCTCTCTCTGGGCGCCTCGACATTCTGACACAAATCTGCCCACACAAGGCGCATGGCCCCACCCCCTGTCTCTTCCGTACGCTTCTGACCGTTGCCCCCCTTTTGTCGTCATACGCCCTACCCTAGACCCAGTTCCCCCTGCTTGGGCCTTGACCTCTAGGCCTTTCTTGGGCCGGGTCTCCCCCCTTGGCGAGGCCCACACTCCCAGCCCAGGGCAACACCCTGGCCCCTTACTTGGGCCCTATTTCCTATTCCCCCAACAGGGTGCAATAACAAAAATGAACTTTCTAGAATCAAATTTGAAACGGGACAATTCCAATTCATCTTTTACCATTATATATTTTGTAGATAAGCGATGTAAATCCTTTAATGATATGCAGTAAGAGCATCTCCATCAATGCAATTGCAAAAGAAATTGCATTTGTGTTTTTTACTGTCAACTCAAATTTTTTGCAATCCACATCAAATTCATTTCACTCACCTACATCAATTCAATTAACTTGCAATTGAAAATGTAATTAAATATTATGTTTAAATTATAGAAAATTAAGTAAAAGAGAAAAGAAAATAATCTAAAATAAAAAATCTCCATTTTTTTAGGTTTTTTTATTTGCATATAGAATTATATTTATTGCAATCTTTTAAATATGCAATTGGTAGTAGCAATTTATTTTGTAATAGCAAACACCTATTTCATATTTATTTTGCAAGATTGCAATGTTGATACTCTAACGTATATACTTTTCCTTTTTATGCTCGTTCCGTATTTTTACTATTAACTGGACTGGCTTTTCTCACTCTCGAGTCTCTGTTTGGTCTCTCCCTGTCTTGGCTCCCCCTTTTTCTTCTCCATCGTCGTCTCTCTCTCGCTGTCCCCCGGGAGACGCACTCCACAATTACATCGCCGGCCGGCGAATTAGAATTAGAGAAACCCAATAACGCGGAAGGAGATTCCGGGACGTACGAAACTCTGTGCCACAAATATCCTCCCTTCGTCGGATTCTTCCACTTTTTGTGCAAACCCTAATCTCCCAGCGGACATCTCTCCAGGGGGGTTAGGATTTTCGGGGGTTTCTTCCGATTCCCTCCTGCTTGCCCTCCCTCTCTGATGCTTCAGGGCCACAAAGATTCTCGCCAATGTATGCCCACTCTCAATCCATGAACATTCCCCACCAGATCGACGACTTGCCCGGCGGCGGCGGCGGCGGCGACGAAGAAGATGCTTCCGGAGCCCCCGATTCGATGGACCAGCACCAGCTTGAAAACATTGGATATGACGATGCTGCCGCAGCCGCAGGAGTCGTCGTCGACGACATGTCTGCTGACTCTGTCTATATTTCCTCCAGTGGCGGCCCTGGGTCGGAGCTTCTTATTCATGGGGGTGATATCACCAACCAGCTTACTTTGACGTTTCGTGGCCAGGTGTATGTGTTTGACGACGTCACGCCTGATAAGGTAGGTGATTCTGCCGAGGGTTTTAGCGGCGTAGGGAGACAAAAGTCTGCAACTTTGGCCATCTTTCTTCTTTTTTTGTGGGAGTTTCTGGGAAGAGATAACGAATGTAGCTTCAATGTTGAGTTCTAGGCTGTGAAAGTAGCGCAAGGAACTACATTCTTTAGGTTTTTCTTCTTGGCTGCTTCTGTTTCCATGAATTGCTTCTTTGCGACGGTGGTTACAAATGTTTGAGATCATTTGTTTCGCATATGTCCAGTTTGGAGCTTTAGCTTAATGTGCTTACTTTCTGGGTGTCACAGGTTCAGGCAGTTCTGTTACTACTAGGAGGTTGTGAAATAAATTCTGGTCTGAATGGTCTGGAACTGCCGCCTCAAGGCCAAAGGGTATTTGTCCTCTCTTATTATTTATGAGATTTTAGTATATATGTGAATTTATGGATATGCTCAGACTTTCTGATATGACTCCTTGCTATCTAGGGCACATCTATGGACTATCCAGGCCGCTCGACACAACCTCATAGAGCAGCTTCTTTGAATAGATTTAGGCAAAAGAGGAAAGAGCGATGTTTTGACAAGAAGGTTCGATATAGTGTTCGCCAAGAGGTTGCCCAAAGGTGTGTTGATGATACCTCCTGATATATGATATTGTGATGTTTGCGTAAGATTTTATCATGGTGGTTTTTGGCACATATCTTATATTATTAAACTGTTTTTGACTTGTCAGAACGGGTAGATTAGGTTGCCAACACCTGGATGGCTAGAAAAATTAGAGAGTATCAATATGATGAGTTGCCTGTTAAACGCCAATTCTGTTGTTTGTATTACAACTACGTACAAGCACCAAGTCGAGTTGAAATTCATGTGTTGTTTCGCTGTGTCCCTAAACGTCATAAGTCACATTTTAGAATGATTTGTTAGAGTGCTTAACAGATTTAAACGGCAAATGGGTATTTACAACCTTATGAAGTGATTACCCTAAGGGCAGTAGAACAAGTATGATGTAACCTTCTCCTGGATTCATGATTTGAGCTGCTTATTAAGTATCCATCTGATGTTTACTTTAAGGAAATATTAAGCCATCTATAGTTAGACCGAAGTGGTAGCCTTGATATACTATTTGCTGGCATGCTGTAGGCTCTTTGTCCAAGTACCAACAACAGGAGTTCTTGACCACTGTAATTAGTGTTGCTGTATGCCTAGTGATTGTTAGTTTACAATTTGGTTATCGAAAGAAACAAATTTGACTATGTTGTGCAGGGTGCAAGGTGTTCGTAAGAAATACGCTTCTTTGGCACATGAGATTATTGGTAACCTGGATTGACTAGAAGAGAATTGAGAGAGATTTAGGGATTTGAATCATAATTGGGAAGAATAGAATTGGGGTTAGGGATTGAACACGAATTTGGGGAACAATGGCCGGGCCTTTAGGGAGAGACGGGATTTCAGAGAATTGAGAGAGATTAGTGTTTGGGGATAATTTCTGTAATATTCTTCTTTGATTATCTTAAATGAATTCCCACGTACATGTTTATAGGAAAAGACTCCAAGACCTAATAATAAACCTAAAACTAACTAATGACTTAACAACCAAGTAATTAAAGACTCCTAATACGAAATCCTGACCCTCATTCATAAACGGCTATTTTGCTCCCTTATTCCATAATAATAATAATAGTATTGACAGAAACGTGTTTCTAACAGTGTTTATGAGTATTCTGCTCATATGTAAGATATTTACCCTGTTTGACTTCTATGAGAGCTGTTGATATATATGGAAATGAAAAGTTATACTTATATGCATCTGGCTTCTATGCTGTGAATTGTTTCCCCTTTGCTTTGCTGGTTATTTTCAGACATCGCTTGTCCCCACCCCCAAAATTTTGTTGGTGGTTCTGTTTCCCTTCTGATGATGATTTTCTGTGTAAATCAGGATGCAGCGCAACAAAGGTCAGTTCACCTCATCGAAGAAAGATGGTACATATGGCTGGGACGGCAGTCAGGACTCAGGGCATGATGACAGCCAGCAAGAAACCTCGTAAGGATAACATTGTGTTTTCTAGTCTTGATCTTTTCTATTATCTGATCTGTTGTGGAAAAATCATTGATTATAAAAGCTGACTTTAAAGCTGGAGAGCTAAGCATTGGGAAACCATGTTGTATAGCTATGAGTTTAATGTTCCTTGCTTTATTGGGCTATCTTTGGCCTTTAAACATTTATATTACTATCAGACTAGTTTTTTTTTGGGAACTTCTGTATTCTTCTGTAGGTGTACCCATTGTGGCATCAGTTCCAAATCAACTCCAATGATGCGACGTGGTCCATCTGGTCCTAGGTCTCTTTGCAATGCATGTGGGCTTTTCTGGGCAAACAGGGTTAGTTTCTTCATTCCTCTCACCACCACCACGAGGATATGGAGTATTTATATCTGTGTTTTGGTGATTCTGAAGTGCTACCTTTTTCAAATCCCAGCTTATGTATCCATACATGGGTTCAAATCGTATTTCATTCTATTTTTCTACTATGCATGTGCAGATAGTTGTTAGTAGCCCTATCCCTGTATGTGTTGAGTGGTATCCTGACTTTATTAGCTTGGAAATTGTTTATTGCTTTGCGCCATGCTGAACTTAACCTGTGCACGTATTGCAGATTTACATTTTATTATTTAATCAGACGGGATTGCTTTAAGGTGTTAAAGAGGTCTCTTAATTCTTGCAGAATTTGTGCTTTTGAATTTTTATAGTGATCTTAAATCCTAGTTTTTTGTTATTCAAGGTCATGATGTACTATAGGGTAGAACCCTTGCTTGCTTCTGAGAAATATTTGAGATAGCAGGGGTTGCGGTGCGGAAGCTTTTTGGTCATCATATTATATTAAAAATCCTAAAGATCCCACATATCTCAGTTTTTATTACTTGAGGGAGGAAGAATGTGGTATGTCAAGGAAGAGTCAGTTCATCAATTCTAGCATGCTTATAGATACTATCAGCTCCTATTTGTTAGTCCTTGACTGGAGAATTCAGAATAGTAGGATTATATTTCACTCTCGAGACTGGCATACATTTGTTGCCTGTTTTTTCAATAATGAATGAAATATTGCAGGGAACACTGAGAGATCTGTCCAAGAGAAACCAGGATCATGCTTCTTCCGCTCCAGTAGAGCAGGTACTGTCTGTTGTCTGGAATTCGAGCTCTCGACTCTAATATCTATGCGTTAGTTTCACCAGCTCACTGTTACATGGTTATATAGAACCAGGCGGAAGCTGAAGCAAACATGTTGGAGTCAGGAGGAGATGGGGCCCATACCAACACTGAACAACTAGTTGTTTACTCAAATGGCGATGAGTCTGGTCTAATTTCAGGAGAGCCCTGAGAGATGGGGAAAGAAGGCAAAGGCTGAGTTATTATTAGACAGTCGAGGAAGAACTTCTAGTTGAGGGAAAAGAAAGTTTCTCTGGGAATGTACAGCTAATGAATGAATATAAGCCTGCCATAATCTTTATTGATCAGATATTGGCCCTCTCTGTACATGAAGATGGAGAGTCAGAGACTACATATCTCATCTCCTTTTCCAATGGTGGTGACTAGGGTCTCGGCAGCCAATGAGATATTCTTTCTGATCTTACATTATCCCAAATGTACCATGTGTGACATTATGTAAAACAGGAAATAGGGGTAGCTTGTTGATGAAGTGATTCGGTCCTTTTTTCTTTCCTCCTATGAATTTGAATTGCCGGAAACTACCCCATCTGGCTTTTCTGGCGGTTTTGGTTAACTAACGCCATATGCATACGGATAGAGCGGGAAAAACTCATTCGGAACTCGACTCGTTTACTAACGAGTTTGAGTTGAGGTTTTTGCAGCTTGATGAGCTCCCAAGCTAGCTAGACTCGGTGGTTTGTTGAGCTCAACTTGTGAGTTGACTCATTTAGAGCTTATTATGTATCAACTCTCAACATTGTGACTAGAAAGCCAACTTGATTACCGATTTTATGAGCGAATCGATCTATATGAGTTTGATTTTGATAATTCATAACATTGTTAAATTATATATTTCACTCTATATGAAGTTTAACATGTAGATTATGTGAACAAATATGACATGTGTAATTTAAAAATGAAATTATGTATCAAAGATTGCTTCGAAACTATGAAAAAATATAATTTTGAATAGTTAAAATTTATTAACTAAATAATATGATATCACAAAGTCTAACATGAGATTAGTTAATATGGAACAATTACGTGTTGTTATTATTATTTTCATCTAAACATTAATCACGTGTATCATACATGACATACAAAATGAATATATCAAATACGAGTTAAGATTTTAGTAACCAAACTAGCTCAAACACGACTAGACTCGTTACTAAACGAGCCGAGCTCAAGCTGGGGTAAAGCTCAGCTCGACTCGGCTCATTTGCAGCCCTACATACGAATAACCGAACTGATCAGAATTGTCGGTTAACTGCATGTTATCGACTTGGTTAGAAGTTAGTTTGGAGCCCTACATATTTTAAAATATTGTATGTTGTCCTTTTTAATACTAAAATAAAATATAATCATACAAATAATTTATAATAATTTAACCTAAATAAATTAAATCATATTTTTAAGAAATAACAGCAATCCAATACAACACATATGTAACACCTTAGGCGAATCCCACATCGACAAAGCACGGGAGAGATCCATGGTTCATAATTAGGGAACCAACTTTAACTGACAAGACGCATTTTGGGGTGAAATGAAGGAGTACTTGTGAGAACTCCAAAGTTAAACGTGCTCAGAGTGGACTACAAGGATGGGTGACCTTATGGGAAGTCACATTGAATTGCACCCCAAGTCGAAAACCATGAGGGTCGAGGCCCAAAGCGGACAATATCTACGTCAGGAAAATGTTCGGGATGTTACAACTTACAAGTGGTATCAGAGCCTCTCCGCGTCCGTCTTGAACGATGGTGGGGCAAACTTTAACGAGAGCGTTGAGTCCCAAGGGGGGTGTATGTAACACCTTAGGTGAATCCCACATCTACAAATCCCGAGAGAGATCCATAGTTCATAAGTAGGAAACCGACCTTAACTGACAAGACGCGTTTTGGGGTAAAATGGAGGAGTGCTCAGTGTGGAGTACAACAAGGATAGGTGACCTTATGGGAAGTCAACTTGAATTGCACCCCAAGTTGAAAACCGTGAGGGTTGAGGCCCAAAGCGGACAATATCTTCGTCGCGAAAAGGTTCGGGACGTTACAACATATCGTGAACAAAAAAACTAAATTCGAACTCAAACACATAAAATTACAAATAATCAAAACTCTTCATCCAATTAGCAAGACATTAAAGACATTAATTACAAGCAACTCTTCATCCAATTAGCAAGACATTAAAGACATTAAATACAAGCACCACAAGATCATCATCATTCACAAACATCAAATAAATAAAGACTACTAGGGTGAGTGGTCTGCTTTGGCAACTACAAGGGGAGTCTGAGAGGTGACTTTCGAGTTCTAACTCTTAAACATATTTGAGATTTTGGGATGAGGCTTGTTTACAATAGGTGGAGATTGGAATGTTTGGAATTGCTACTTTGGTTGGATTTGAATATTGTGACTTTTTCCCTTGGCCAAAACCCAAAACTATGTCGAAAAAGACCGCATCATCAACCATTCGTCAATACACATTCTACCCCTATACCCAACCCCCCTGCTCCTATTCCCCAACCCGTCACACTGCCCACTCTCCCTCTCCTCCATCACAACCCGGCCCATTCCCCAATCCCCAACCCACCACCCACTGTTCCTTCATCCACTCACCCCACCACACCCCCTAGCCCAGCCCACATTACTCCTAACCTCCAGCCCACATTACTCCTCTACGCCTCCAACCAAATCTCCGCCTCACTCTTCTTCCCTGCTCCTTCTTCCTCCACCCCTGCAACCTTCACACCTACCCTCCTTCCCCCTCGCAAACCTCTTCCTCCTCGCCCACGATTTACTACATCTCCCCAACCCTTACTTATTACTAATCCAACTACTTCCTCTCATCCCATGGTCACACGCATCAAGACAGGAAATCTCAAACCTAAAACCTTTCTTGCCCGCCAACCCCCAATTGATGACACGCCAACCACGGCGGCCCAGGCTCTTAAAAGCTCTAGATGGCGCTCCGCCATGACTGATGAGTTCACTGCTTTGATCCGAAATCACACGTGGGATTTAGTCCCGCCGCCGGCCGATTGCAATCTTCTTACCAACAAGTGGGTCTTCCGCACCAAATTTCATCCCGATGGGAGCATCGAACGAGACAAAGCTCGTTTGGTAGCTCGTGATTTTCAACAGATTCCAGGCGTCGATTTTCACGAAACCTACAGCCCCGTCCTTCGCCCAGCAACACTCCGCCTTGTCCTTGGCCTGGCTGTCACTCAGAAATGGCCACTTCATCAACTAGATATTGCTAACGCTTTTCTTCACGGTGAGTTACAGGAAACAGTCTACATGCGCCAACCTCAGGGCTTTGTGGATTCTGACAAACCGAATCATGTATGCCGCCTTCGGAAGAGCATATATGGTTTGCGCCAAGCTCCCCGCACTTGGTTTGCTTGCTTGGCCCAGGCTCTTGTGCAGTTTGGGTTCAGTGGCACTGATCCGTCTCTCTTCATCTACAAGTCCGGCGATGTTCGTCTATACATGATGGTCTACGTCGACGACATCGTTCTCACCGGGAACTCCACTCCTTTACTTCAGCGTCTCCTAGCCTACCTCCATAAGAGGTTTGCTCTCCGAGACCTCGGCTCTCTCTCCTACTTTCTTGGAATTGAGGTTCACCGTTCCCCGGATGGCAGGGGCGGAGCTAGGATTTTGTGTTTGGGGGGGGCCGAAAATGTTTCGTATACTATCGTAACTAGACAAAAATCAAAATAATTATAGAACTATATAAATAAATTAATTGCGTGAATTATCAAAATATACGACATGTTTTGTCAAATAATTAAATTGACATTGTTGTTAAACTTATCGAGGGAAATTTTTCGATTAAAGCTATAAATTGTAAAAAACTCCAACCAAAAAGTTGACATAAATGGGGATTGAACCGCTGACCTGCCGAATACAGAACAACTACAACTCCACTACGTTAATCAGCTTCTATAGGTACATTTTAACCCGTGGCCATTATTATAAAACCTGTATTTACTTCGTAATTTTCAGAATACTCGTACATTTTTTCATGATTTTCGAAATTCTCGGGGGGCCGGGGCCTCCCTTAGGCCCTGTGTAGCTCCGCCCCTGCCGGATGGCATTCTTCTCAGTCAACGGAAATTCATCTCCGAACTACTGGAACGTGCGAAGATGACAGCTGCTAATCCGATATCCACTCCTTGCACGCTAGACATTATCCAACAGAGTTCCCTTGATGCTTCTCCACAATTTCATGATCCGGCTCTCTATCGCAGCCTCGTCGGCGGGCTACAGTATCTGAGTTTTACGCGTCCTCACATTTCTTTCGCAGTGAACCATGTGTCTCAGTTTCAGCACTTTCCCACGGACGCTCACTGGTCAGCAGTCAAGCGCATTCTCCGCTATCTTCGCGGAACGATTGGTCGAGGATTGCGCATCACTCGCTCTACCTCTCTTCATATTCATGGCTACTCCGACGCCTCTTGGGCTTCTTGTCCAAAGGATCGGAAATCAATTACAGGTTTTGCTGTCTATTGTGGTTCCAATCTCATTTCATGGTCTACTCGCAAACAAAAGTCAGTGGCTCGATCATCTACAGAATGTGAATACAGAGCACTTGCTACAGTTGCTTCCGAATTCCTCTAGCTACGTTCCTTGATGTATGAATTGGGTCAATCCATTCCCTCTGCGCCGATACTATGGTGTGATAATCTTGGTGCAACATATCTCGCTCACAATCCCGTATTTCACAATCGCTCAAAGCATATGGAGATTGAGTTTCACTTTGTTCGTGATCAAGTCAGCAAGGGTCAACTCCATGTTCACTGCCTTCCTGCTCCCGATCAATTGGCAGACGTCCTCACTAAGCCCCTCACTCGGCTTCCGTTCACCCGATTTTGCTCCAAGTTGCGCCTCTCTGCGGCTTCACTTGCGGGGGGCTGATAAGGAACTACTTCCCCTACACTTCAGGAACCCCTATCGCACACTCTTCTCTCATCTGTTGTAGCTGTTAGTAATGCCCTTGTAATTCTCAATTCGGTTCCTTTCCTTGCGCTAGCTATATACTATATAACATTAAGATACTCAATAACAGAAGGCAGTCTTTTGCTGCGTGTTCAGCTCCCACTCCATCTCTGTCATCGTCGTTGCTTAAGTAGTCGTCCATTGTATTCTGGCGACCGCATAAATATATTGTCGGAGCTCTGTAGCTACCAGGACTATGGTTTGGTTTGATGAGGAAGGATCCATAAATGGAAGGGGAAGAGATGCGGGCGTTTATAGTTAGTGGTAATGAAACCCACCAATCGCACTGCATAATTGTTTCCCATGTATTATGTTCTTAATTCAAATTCTTTCCATTAAGCTACTTCCAAAAAAGCCCTTGTTGTGTTTTGGACCATCGGATGAGGAAGGGAGACGAACAACTGAAAAGGGAAAAATGAAACTCACAACCTCTTAGGAATTGTGACGCTATCCAACCCAACCAACGTACATGTTTGATCACATTCTATGAGAAGATCAACTCCAACCACACCCATTAAATCTAACACATTCCTATTAAATACTCACTTTTTCATTCTCAATTCACTTTTTACTCTAAACATACAACTCTTAAATCTAATACCTCACCTTTTTCTTTTGATTTGTTTAATTTAGAGTATACTTATCTATATTCTAATTTTTCTTACTTCTTATTATTTTTTTAAAGTAGACATTACTTCGTCTTTTTGTGTAGCATAAAAATGTTATTTTATGTTATTTTTTTACACTTTTGTGTATCACTGTCACATGACCGCATTTCTCCTTCTGCAAAA